AGTGTGCTTCTTTTTTTTAATCACTGATAAGTATTTCATTTTATGAATGTACAAGTTCTTTTTGAAGTATTCATCACTTGATATGTACTTAATTTATTTTCATGTTTTTGGTAATGTATCTCTCAGGTTCCCAGCAGAAGACAGAAACCTCACAGTAATTTCAACAAGGGAATGTTAATATAAAAACTGTTACCATGGGAATTAAATTAATGGGGGATTGACTAAGTAGGGCAAATAGAACTCTAACACAGCCATAAAAAGGATGAGTTCATGTCCTTTGCAGGGACATGGATGAAGCTGAAAACCATCATTCTCAGCAAACCAACACAAGAACAGAAAAACAAACACTGCATGTTCTCACTCATAAGTGGGTGTTAAACAATGAGAACACATGGACACAGGGAAGGGAACAGCATACACTGGGAGCTGTAGCGAGGGTGAGGGTCCAGGGGAGGAATAGCAGAGGGTGGGGGGATGGGGGGATAACTTTAGGAGAAATACCTAATGTAGATGACCGGGGAATGGATGCAGCAAACCACCATGGCATGTGTATACCTATGTGACAATGCTGCATGATCTGCACATGTACCCCAGAACTTAAAGTATAATAATAATAATAATGAAAGAATAAGTAATAGCAGATATTGGGAGCAGCCAGTACTCCTAGGACTGAAATAAAACACTTAAAGAAGAGGCCACTGAAGGCTGAAAGTCAAACCTTACTGGAGAGTGTAAAGAAGTTTGGTAAACCTATGGCAGTTCTTATTATAAATCAATCCTCTGAAATGCTGAGGGTCACTGGAATTTACTGTAAGTTTCTCCAACTGTCTTTTTCTGATTCAAAATTGTTTTCACTATCCTAAGTCCTTTTTTTTCCACATAAGTTTTAGAACTGACTTAATAAAAATAAGGATGTTGGCATTTTTTTGGAACATTGTATTACCTATAGATGAATTTAGAGGATGTTGCTATTTTAGACAGATTGAATCTTCTGAGCCATGTAAACTGCTTTCTATTTTTTAACTTTTGGAAGCAATCTGCATTTTAATCATAGAAAACTGCATCATGAAGAGCACAATGTAGATTTTATTAGCCATGGCAATATAAAATTGGTAAAATCGATGAAAATATTTCTCAGACATATATAAGGAGAGTTAAAGAGAAATAAAAATGTTAATGTCATTATTTTACTGGGAAATCAAAATGTAGTATTTTTAAATGACAGAGTTTACAAAGGTAGTTGAAGCCTGCTCTTTGAAAGCGTGCAAGTGAAAAAGTGAGGCACTGATTATAGGGTCAGAAGGGAGTTTCTAGAAAACAGAACTGGGGATGAGAAAATTGTGATATGATGAATATTAGGTTTCACTATAAAACATTCTGTACTCTTTATTTAAAAAATGCAAAGGTGTATTTATTTGACAAATCTAATAACAAATCCTCAAAATTAATGGCCATGGAGTCATCACCTAAAATATTATTTACAGTATTGAAAAAAGTATCAATTTTAAGTGGAAACCTTGAATACTATTTTATTTCTTTAATTGAAATATAAACCTCATAAAATCTAGCATATTGCATCACTAACATCACTGATTCTTTAAAATATTAGATATTGACGGTATCAGATCCATCTTCAAACATAAAGAAGATAATGTAAGACTGATATTGGGTTGGTAGTTAAGTAAATTTTCAGAAACTGGAGTCCCCAATCGCTTTTCAATATCGTGCAGCTATGTAACTGCTCTTTACTTACCAAGAGAAAAAGGTGGGGGGAAAAAGTGTGCTTTCTTTCTAAAGAGACTGGACAACTGAATCTCTTGTCCCAGGAACATGAGGCATGTTGGAGGTTGTAACTGAGGGGCTGTGATGGCACCAGGAAACACAAACATTGCCATTAAAATCTACCATTCCCTCCTTCACCTGCCACAAGCAGATTAAAGAAGTCTTTTTGGGGATAACCAGTGGCATCTAAGAACAAGACAAATGACATTACATTTTGGAAGTATCATGAGGCAAGGTCTGCACCCTATCTGATTGCTCTAGTAAAGATCACTAATAGACAAGTCTCACTTGTGCACATTGTGTCAAAAGAGTATTTTTAAAGTGACATTTTAAATTACAAGTGGACATTTGAGGATCACCAAATGTTATTTGAGAACTTTTAAATAAAAGATATCAAAACAAAGAACTATGTTAAAGGGACTCATATAAAACATTGACATCATAAAATACTAAAATCCCTCAAATTGTGTAAATAATGACCTGAGAAAAAATAAAACACAATTTGTCCAGAATAATCAATAGCCTGTAAGTTTTAGGTTAAAAACTATAGATAAGTAACAGTTTTTGAAATCTGACAAAAATTACAGAAATAAATAATAAAGAACACAGAATGTACAAAATAAAATAAATAAAAATATTTTAAAATGGGATTAACCTCAGAGGTTCAATAACTGAATAACAGATTTCAGAATAATTATGAAAAAATATTATAGACATATTAATATAAAAAGTATAATTTAAGTGCATTGGTTTCTAGTTGAAGGGGGTTCCTAAAATCTCAATCAGATTTTAGTAAACTGTGATAACAGCCTTCAGATGAAGAGTAGGTCGTGTAAAAAAAAAAAAAGGTGGGGGGAATTAGAATGGCATGGTAATTCGGTAATTCTCATAGGAATCACTAACTGCAGAGTCTGAATAAAACTATTTTTCACACATCCTATATTCATAAGTCTTAGAAAATACTTAAAGCATCATAAATGGAATATTGGTAGAAATATGAGCATTAGAGGCATGCCTAGTGAGGGTCCATAAAGAAATGAGGCAAATGCTATGAGAAACTGGAGGAAGAGTGATCCTTATTATGTAGTAACAGAAAGCTTGGTGGAAGGGTGTCCTATAGTTAAGTGGAAAGCAAAAATTATAGGAAACAAACTTTGATATCTAGCCCAGGGGATTTCCAAGCAATATGCTGACGACAGAGCCTTGTTTCTTCCCATTACCTACAGTGAAATGTGAGAAGGAAGAGATAGACTGAGGAAGCAACATTAGGAAAAAAGGAAACAGGGCTTGATGACTTGGGAAATTCTCAGCCTATCCAGATTGCAAAGGCACTACAATTAGGAGATTCATCATCAGGAAAGCCTGTTCTAGAGAGAAAGCCAAGGTGTGGCTGGACAACCTTTTGCTAGTACTTTGGAAAGATCAAAAGATCAGAGTATTCAATTACACACATGGCCTTTTGAAATGAATAGACAAGTGACTCATGGTTCACTTCAGCCCTCCAAGCAGAAGCCAGGAATAGAGATGGTATTATAAAAGAAAGATTTGTGGATGAGTCTCTTGTCTAGTGTAGAGAATCCCTGAAACAAACAAGGGAAATTTGCAAGATTCTCAAGAATGTTGTGCCAAAAGACATACTCCATGTCAGCTTGAATTAAGAGGGAAACAGAACAAAATGAGGGTAGGCTATTGAATTTCCCAAATTCTACATGTAGAAAACAAAACGATAAAACTACTCAGCTGCAAACACATAGAGTCTCTACAATAGCAGCAGAGCCAAGAAACACAGAGAATAATTCTCAAGCCTTAAAACCCAATGTTGAATTCAAAGATAGATTTTGAAATTGCTTAGGACTGGTGATTCCTTTTGTGAATTGGATATCTACTCACATTATCTAATGCCTATCTCACCATAGTATTTTAGGAGCCAATATTATGTTTTATAGTTTCACAGATCCCCCGATGGAGAAGAATTTTGCCCCAGAGTGGATAATACTGAAAGCCCCAACCATGACTAACTTAGATAAATTAGGTGATAAGATTTGGGCCTTCCATGATAATGAGATCTATATCCTCATCCCTGGAGGCTGTAAATATGTTAAATGTAAAGTAGGAGACTTGGGGGATATTAAGTTAGGGATCTGGAGATAAAGAGATTATTCTGGATTATTTGGGTAGACCCAATGTAATCATGAAGGTCCTATGAAAGGGAGGCGGGAGAATGAGAATCTGAAAAGACCATGTGACTGAAGATTGGAACTGATTAGCAGATATTTGCTGTTGGCTTTAAAAATCTGAGACAGGGCACTTCTAAAAGCCAAGAGTGAAGAAAGTGTCTAGAAGCTAGAAAAGGCAAGGAAACAAATTTTTCTGTAAAACTTTTAAGGGGAGTGCAGTTCTACATATCAACTGTAGAATTCCAGCCTCCAGAATTGCATGAGACTGCGTTTGTATGTTTTAAGACACTAAGTTGTGGCATCCCCTTCCTGACTCTACCTTTACCACCACAGCCACCTTTTCCCTCTCTCACTCTCTTACCTTGGAGTAGAAAGAATAAAGGAAAAATAAACAGAAACCAGAAATTTTAATGCAATATAGAAAATTTATTATATGGAGTTTTCAGAAACTTGGGAACAATTACAGCATTTCAATAGAGGGTTTTATCAGAGTTATTAGATTGATGCCCCATTGGTGTCTTTATTTCATAGGAAAGATGTAAATGGAGTGTACATTGGACCGCACAGGCAGTGGATTAAACTGGTGAGTGTCATTCGGGGCTCTATGTCCCATACTGTGCTGTAAGGAATCTCCACGTAAGAAGGATAAGTAATGCTCTCAGCTTTACCAGTCTGGCTAAAAGTCATAGTAGGAGAGAAACCCAGGCACAGATATCCTTTTGGAAAATACTTGAAGAGGAGGCTTTCTCACAGCAAAAGTCTCCAGGTCAATACAAACAAATTTGTATTGTTTTAAACCATCGACCTTGTGGCAATATTTTACAATAGCAATAGGGTGTTAATATATATGTTCTATTAACCTAGTGTGAAAGCAAAATAAAAAATAGGGTGCTAATATACCATCCATACTATTAATCTAGTGTGAAAGCAAATTAAAAATAATCTCAGATATAGACAGATCCAAAAATTCATTTTATGTACTCATTTTCCGGTAAGATCTTGAAGTATATGTCTTCCAAATGGAGTAGAGCTCCGAAGAATACATGGTATCCCAGTAACCAAACATATAACACAGGAGACAGGCAAGTGTCTTATTCTTGTAGGCTACCATTTCCTTTGGCTTATTACAAAACAACAGGATGTCACAACTTGATCAAAGTCTATTTATTTGTCTACTAAAAGGTCATGACTATAAATTTCCAACTAGAACACCTGAAAAGCAATGTATGGAATTCTGACAAATTTAAACCCAGGAAAAGATCCTATGAAATGTGACATTGATTTACATGTCCTGCTTATAGAACAAGAAAAATAAGAACAAGAGTAAGAACAGCAACAACATTTGCAGTGAGTCTACTCTCTGCTCTCTATCAATGAGCTAAATTATTAACACACACAAAAAAATGGGTTTGATATCATTTGGTTATTAATCACATGTATAGATTTACAAAAGTGACATAACACATCAATGCCATTATATTATTGACAAAAGAGATTAAATGAGAATTGATGTATTTCTAGTTATAATTTAGGCTATCATGCCAGTTTCATACTAGACACCATCAACTCTTATTATACAGGGAAAAAAAATCCCATTTTACTTAAAAAATAAGAAAAAAAATAGAAATAGCCACAAAATTAAACAATATCCCCATTTGCCTAGCTGAACTCTCTTAAATGTCACAGTCATTTTACACGTCTAAAATAAGACCACTCACCTGGAGGTAAAGGGCCATAGCATATTTGCTTGTCATGAAAAATGTTTTTCTTATACGTAATGCCTAAGGAGTATGGAATTTTATTTCCTTTTTCACAGCTGGAAAGGCTCAGTCACCAATTCACTTTTTGTAGTGCAATGTCATCTGGTTTTAGGCAGTGCCAGAAAATAAATGAAAAACAATTGACCAAAATATATGGTTTTAAATGGATGTAAACCATGTGCATGGGTTTCATATCAAATTCCAAAATTATTTCTCAGTTGAACGTGAAACTATCTAATAAGCACAACATTCCAGATAGAGATCAATTAACTTGTTTGTGAAATTGTCCTTTATTTAAAAGAGTAAGCAAATATAGATTGGGTGTCTATTATGTACTTGTTTCTATGATACTTTTCACTTTTTAAAAAGAATACTAGGACTAGTAACAATCCTATAGCTCATTTGAAGCAAGCATCCTGACTTCTGCGGTGGTTGTGTTGAAGACGTTTATCTTAACATTTTAAGAGAAAACCGAATTAGGACAGTATATTCTATGCAAAATGTTTAAGGGAACTGACCTCAATAGGATGATGGATGTTAATAAGTGGATGGATAAATTAAATCTGTTTTCAAGGAGATAAAATATTTTAAAAATTATTTATTACTATTTTGGAGCAATTAGGGAGGCAAAAGTGCAATTACAAGTAAAACTGAGAACATTAGAGTGTCACATGAAGTAGGTTGATTATAATGAAGGTGTTCTGGAAAGTTATAAAAGAGCTACTGCTTTTGCTTCCAAAGCTCTAAAATATTTAATGAATTAGAAAGAAAACACGTTAGTTAAGTGTTAATTTCACTCAATTGTTTATTCTTAATTTCAGTTTCCAGGGGGAAATTATTACCTGGTTTACACAGCAGAATTTTTTTTTTAACCATACAGAACTATTAGGAAATTATTTCATGGAAGTAACGTTTAGACTACTAGTAGAAGGTGGCAGATTGGGGTAGAAATTTACCTCCTTCCCTTCCGATATCCTGCAGAAATGAAGAAAAACTCATTTTAAGATGTGTAAATACAAAACATGGTTCTGGAAAGCAAGGAAGTGTTCTATTAAATTCACTGCAGTAATTCTGAGGACTTTCCAGAGCATACCACTGATATTGGATTAAAGGAGCAACTGAGTAGAACCATCATAATCCAAAACAAACACACAATCATCGTATTGGAGAGAGTCATCCTTCCCAACTCTACTCCAGAGAAACTAAACTCTAAGTGAACATTCAGGAAGAACAGGGAACGGTCCCAGGGTTAAATGCAGAACCACCTATAGAAGACCTTAGTCTAATGTAACTCCCCGTCCTGATCACAAGTTATACAGGTGAGTGAGATATTCCTTTGTCGGTTGCTTTACTGACCTCTTACCATCTACCCAAGCATTATATTAAGAGTTCCATAGGGCTAGATGATATGCTGTTTATTGTTCTCTATCACTTGTCCAACTTGATTTAAACTTTCCTTATTGCTTAAATATCATCTATCTTTTGATGACTTTTATTTTTCAAGTTTTCAACTTACGGCTAAATTTGAAGTCAACTTATAGCTAGATTTGCCTACTGACATGCCTAATATAATATTTCAGGACTTCTGCAGTGACCACTCATTGGTCAGGGTCCATTCACCCATTTTGCAGTAACAATTCCTCAGTAGCCCTTGAGAGAAACAGTGGTTTTCCAGTCTTCCCATGTGGTTCAAATTAGGTGGATTTCTTTATCTGCTCCAAACATCAACCTACATTCCAGATTTAGCCAATCACATGAATCAATTCTGATCAATGAGAGGCAAATAAGTGTTATTTGCAAAAGATATTCGAAAGAAAAGAAAACATTACTGGGGTGGACAAGTGAAAACAATATAAACATGGATTTTAAAGGACACATGCATACACACACACATATGCAGGCACATACAGACATAGGGCGCAGTGCAGAGATATGAAGACCAAATTGTTACAAAATTATTTGAACCTCATCTTCTAATATCTTCCTCATATCATCACATTTTTGTCACCTTTAAGATGTTGCCATGTAGTTGCATTTCACTTTAGGAGTGCTCTGTGACCTTGGTCTTTGCCTAGCTGTTTCCTTCTCAAACTTCAGGTCTCAGATTAAATGCTAACCCAAGAGAGATTTTTCTTAACTTTCACTCAAAATGGCACCATCAATATTCTTTATAAAGACTAGGCAAGATGTGGCTGCTAAGTCACTGTGTAGTAGTTTCATTAGTTTATTTTTGTTATCTGTCATTTCTCTTGAAACTGAAGCTCCGAGTCAGCAGAAACCAAGTCTGTGCTGTTCCCTGTTGTATTCCTAGAAGTTAGATTAGTGACTGGCCCACAGTGTGCTCAACATATATGTGTGTGTGTGTGTGTGTGTGTGTGTGTGTGTATTGCTCAACATATGCCACTATATATGTGTGTGTGTGTGTGTGTGTGTGTGTACAGAGAGAGAGAGAGAGTGAGAGAGTTTTGCTTTTGTTGCTCAGGCTGGAGTGCAATGGCAGGAACTCTGCTCACCACAACCTCTGCCTCCTGGGTTCAAGTGACTCTCCTGCTTCAGCTTCCCAAGTAGTTGGGATTACAGACATGCACCACCATGCCTGGCTAATTTTGTATTTTTGGTAGGGAAAGGGTTTCTCCATATTGGTCAGGCTGGTCTCGAACTCCCAACCTCAGGTGATCTGCCTGCCTCGACCTCCCAAAGTGCTGGGATTACAGGTGTGAGCCACGTGCCCAGCCTCACTAAATATTTCTGAATGAAGGAAAACAATAATTGTATAACTACCAAAACTTCGGAAGTTGAAGAAAGAGTAATGAAATTATAAATATACTAAATTCCTCATCTTACATAAAAAGGACTTAATAAATCCTGCATAAAATTAATAAATTTTTAAAGAAGGTATAATCATATCAATGTTAGGATAGCAATCAGCAGAATAATTTATACAAAAACTTAACAAATGTAGAACTTGATTAATCATAGTGTGTTCGTCTGCATAGTCTGGTATTTTTTAATGTGCATGACTAAGGGTGAAGGTAAAGGAAGGAGGTTTTTAAAATTAACTAGACATACTCCTGCTTTATTGACTTTCTCGCATGTATTTACTTTTTTCACAAGTTTTAACTACTCTAAATTACAGCAATCTTCATATCAATTTAGTTTAATTTGTACAATAAGTTCAACTCAGTACTAAAATCTTAAGTATTCCCTATATTACAAATTGATAAGCTTGTTTTATAACATAAATGAAAATTATTTAAAGTATCTTACTAAAATTCTAAAAAAAGTGTTTCATAAAAGTTGGATAATAAATCAGTATAAAGTACAGATGTGTATTTTATGTCACTGTTTTCAAGACACTCGCGTATCTAAGGATGATCAATACTGTGGTCCTGTTCTAAGAGAGAGGAAAACAGAAAAAACATGACATTCATTTATCAGGTACCTGTACATGGCCCTCTGGTATGTCCTTGTCCTTCATAAATTCCCACAACAACCCTGAGAGAAAATTTCGTGGTGAAAGGTACACTCAGATACTGGGAAACGGTTCTAAGTTTCTACAGTTAAACACGTAACAAAACTGGGATTACACTTTTTTTTCAGGCCTATTCTATTTCCCTATAATATATTGTTTTAATTACAAAAACATGAACATTTTGAAAATTTGTATTTAAAAGCATAACATGCTCACTCACTTTAATGTTTATTTTCATTTTATGCTATTTCTGTTTGTCATTAAAATATGTGATGCTTCTTTATATATATGTTGCCCTAATATAAATGTATATTTTGGAGAAAACACCTTTTGTACTTATGGAGGTAGGTATGTATGTATGTATTTATCCAATTTATTTGGAGTGAATTTAAACACATTCCTCAATACTTTTTTCAGTGAAAAATATATAACTGTCTTCAATGGTAAAAAGGTGAATAAAATACAACAATGGTTTTGAAACATAATGTTTCAACAAATACTAAAAATAAAATTTACTTTGGATAATGAGATGTTTTGATTGTGTGATATAGACAGATATTTTTGAAGACAGATTTGGCTTTGGTAAAGGGAAATTAATTTATAATATTTAAAATTGAGCCATTATAACCAGTTATTCCAAACTAACTTGACTTTTTACTTATGCCAACACTCAGATACTGAAGAAAGCTCAGCAACATTGTGCAATATCAATTCTTTCCTACTCTGTGCATAAATAATATTTTTGCCATTTGCAGGATTTGCAAATTTCCAAATGCTGGATTTGAATATAGTCATACTCCACTAATTAAAAACAGTTCTGAGTTTTTCATGAGCCCTATAGCAATTCTTATACTGGGAGACGTATATTGACCATTGATGATTGGGCTCTGTGTCCCCACCCAAATCTCATCTTGAATTGTAATCACCGTGTTTTGAGGGAAAGATCTGTAATCCTCACATGTGGAGGGAGGAAGGTGATTGGCTCACAAGGGCCATTTCCCCCATGCTGTTCTCATGATAGTCAGTGAGTTCTCATGAGATTGATGGTTTTATGAGTGCCTGGTATTTCCCTTACTTACAATTCTGTCTCCTGCTGCCATGTGAAGAAGGTCCTCACTTCCCCTTCACCTTCTGCCATAAATAGTTTCCTGAGGCCTCTCCAACCACGTAGAACTGTGAGTCAATTAAACTTCTTTCTATTATAAATTACCTAGTCTCTGGGGTGAGAATAAACTAATATGACTATATAATTAAAAAATCAAATATGAAGGTCATGTTGACCTGGATTGCTTACCAAAAGCAAAAGAAAGGTATAAATTAATCTGTCTCCTTTATGTTTGTCCCCTAAGAATGATGTGGTCTTAAGATTTTCTCAAGGAAAACATCCATGTCATACTAATAATGAAAAGTTGTGTCTCAGTAAATTTAAATTATTATGTTAATTAAATATTTAGATAACATTGCTTCATATCACTAGTTAATATCATTCAAAGTTTGTTGATATTTATTCATATGTGCTTGTCTTCAATAATTTGGAAAAACTTCTTCTAAATTTGACAATCTTTAAGTCAAAAGTTAGAGGTAAAGCAAATTTTTGTGTAACTATGTAAAAATTATTTGAAAGCCAGTATATGTGTGTGTGTATGTGTGCTTGAATTAAGATGATTTTTGACATTTATCTTTTGCAAACAATTTTATATTATTTAATGTTTGGTTTAGATTCTGGGATTTAATCCTTCAAAATATTTACATTGAGTATGGTATGTAATTATCCTTTATGTTAGAGATATGGTTAGAAAGTCAGAAAAAAAATCAAGGAGAGTAGAGAACAGCATGTATTCAGTTTGTGTTCTCTCTTTATAAATAAGCAATTGAATACTAAGTACCTATGAAATACTTCTATTACTTGCATCCTGTATTAGTCTGTTCTCTCCCTGCTAATAAAAACATGCCCAAGACTGGGTAATTTTTAAAGGAAAGAGGTTTAATTGACTCATAGTTTCACATGGCTGGGGAGACCTCACCATCATGGTGGAAAGTGAATGAGGAGCAAAGTCATGTCCTAGATGGCTGCAGGGAAGAGAGTTCACGCAGGCAAACTCCCATTGATAAAACCATCAGATCTTGTGAGACTTCTTCACTATCAGGAGAATAGTATGGAGGAGATGGCCCCATGATTTAATTATCTCCACCTGGTCCAGCCCTTGACATGTGGAGATTATTACAATTCAAGGTGAGATTTGGGTTGGAGACACAGAGTCAAACCAGATTAGATGTTCAAAATAAATGATCCCTGAGAAACTCGAAGAAAGCCATTAATTAGCATTAAGTACTTATTATTGAAAGAAAAAAAAACAGCTATCCTTTTATAATTAAATAAATATTTGATGTCCCTGTTTACGTAGAAATATATACTACGTTGTCAATTTATATGTAGGAATTTTGTTTTAAATATTTCAATTACTTTTATACTTAAAATTTTAAATCATAGTTTTAAAGCTGAAATAGGTAAATAGGCGCTGAAATTCATTACATTGATTTATGCTGAGTGTGTGTTCCAGTTACCAGCTATTGCATGACAAATAAAAGCAAACTTAGCAGTGTAAAGAATGACTACTTTATTATGTACACAGATTATGTAGGTCAAGAATTCAGTGTGCCAGCAGGAATGGCTTGCTGTTTCTGATTCATGGTATCTGCAGACTTAACAGGAAGACGTCAATGACTAGGAGTAACTGCAACTTAGAATAATCTGGAGACTTTTCATATACACAACTGACAAAACTGGATTAGGAGGATTCGAAGACCAGGCTCGGCTGGGGCTGTCAACTGAGAATCCTACTCTGGCTCCTATCACAAATTCCACGTGGTGTGGACCTCCTTGAAGCATGTCACATTACAATAGTTGGTCTTCCTATGTGGAAGCTTAATGCTGTACTGTGGTCGGAATTCTTGTGTCTCCTCATAATTTGTATGCTGAAATTTTCACTTTCAAGGTGATGGTTTATGATATGGGCCTTTTGGAGGTTGACTAGGTCATGAAAGAGGAGCCCTTAGAAATGGGACTTGTGCCTGTGCAAAAGAGGCTCAAGGGAGTTCTTTTCCCCTTCCCCCATGTGAGGATATAGCAACAGGACATCATCTATGAATAAAGTAACAGGCCCTCAACAGACAGGATCTGCTGGCATCTTGATTATGAACCTTCCAGTCTTTATAATCATGAGGAATACATTTCTATTGTTTATAAGCTGTCTAGTTTATGTTATTTTGTTATAGAAGCCTGAATGGACTAAGACAGGTTTCTGAATAAAGTGCTTCAATGAACACAGCAGAAGTCTCATGGCATTTGATGACATAGCCTAGGAAGTCAAACAGTATCTTCTGCTACATTTTATTGGTTAAGACAGTCAATTCAAGGGAGAAGGATACATCTCTACCTCTTGCTGGAAAAACATCAAATAATTTGTGGCCAGGTTTTAAAATCACCAGAGTGTGCCTTCTGTTCTCAAATGATTTGCTTTCCCTCCACATGCAAATTCACTTATTTCCAAGACCACTCCCACCTAGTCTCGTTTCATTTCAGTATCATCGGGTTCAGACTCAATGTTCAAAATCTCAATCTCAATCAAGTCCAGGTGTCAATAAGACTTCTCAGGTATAATTGCCCTTGATGCACAAAGGAAACAATGTATCTTCCTCTTCCCACACCCAGCATGCAATAGTGATAGAGTCAAGGACAATGTAATAGAGAAAACCTATCAGAATAATTGCATTTAATGTAAAGTTATTCAGTTATTTCTGTTATATGCAAATTTCAATGATTATATTTTAATGTGACCAATTTTGAAATGTAATTTTAAGTATTTCATACTTAAAATATCTACTCATCATTCAAGTTGGCACATTATCAATCAGATGTCATTATTTCAAATGGGCAAAGGAAGACATTCTAAAACTGTGCTCAATTTCCCAGAAACAAGATGATGAAGACAACGGCTAGATAAACAGTTTTAGAAATATTTCCAATGGCTTAACAATATAAGACATGCGTGGAAGAGAAAACATGCTGAAGCTTGAATTGTGTCCTCTGGGCAATAAAAGCAATGACTAATTGCCACAGGATATTGGGAATTGCAGGTGCCACATTGTTTCACAAAAATGGGGAAAAAATAAAACTACTAATCTCAGACACTTTGCCTCACAAAATAAAAGCTAATTCCTTTCATCTTAAATATTATAATATCACAATTTATCCCAAGGTTAAAAATATAATGCTATGCAGTGATTATGGAAGGATAAAAATAATAGTAGGTATATGCTACAATACAAAGCCTTGGTAGAAACCATTCTAATTTGGTAATCAATGACACAAAGGCAAAATATTGCAATTCTGAGCAGGAAATAAAGAAATACTTTTTACTGTTCTTTAGTTCCAGGAATAATAACAATAGAAATAGGGGGATTATGTAGATTAAGTCAATCAAGATTTTTTTTTCCAGTCAGATTGTATAAGTACTTGGAATATACAGAAAATAAAATACAAGGAAGATTAAACTTTATGGTATGGAGCCTGTGAGAATTCTCTATTGTCTCCAGTCAGGTGTTTGAATTAAACCAATCCCATCTCTGTTCCAGTTCTGCTATCTGGAAGTCAATGAATTTTTAGTCTAAATTTTAAAGTTACAATACCAGACTGAATTTGATAATACCAGGACATTTAAACTCTGCCCCATTTCCAACATTTTGCATTTCTCCATTGCTGTACTTACAACATCTTTCTTGAGTACCACTATCTGATTTGGCTTGGTGTATATTTCACTGGCACACTCACCTGCTCCCATGATGATTCTAATAACACGGTCTCCAAAGAATGAACAGGAATTCTTGGAAAAGGGTGTGCTCCTTAAAATTTAGTAGAATTTTCTTCCTGGGATTGCCCTGGCAAAAGGAGGTAAGAAAGGGGATCCCCTGACAGTGTATGGGAATTTCCACTGCATTCCCTCACAAGTGCAGGGAAATCAGATACTTCTAACAGTCATTTAAAAGTAGAGATGAGTAAGGGCAGTATAACAGTTCACCAATATATAAAAAAGAGGCATATTATATAGTTCATAGGACCTAGCAGTAATCAAGTCAAAAACCAAGTACATAAATAACTTGACTATATCTGCGTATCTATCTATGTAAAGTTTTTAATTCCAGAGAACAGAAACTGATTTGTTTTATTGTTTGTTTTCTCCCTGGAAACATTAATGGCATTGGAATGTACTATGGTTTAGGCAACTAAGACATTTCTGAAAAGGAATTGCTTAAGTGAAATTACAGTAAATTATTTGTTAAAGGGAAATTTAAAATGAAATATATTCTATGAAGTAAATAATTCAGCTCTCCTATGATGGTTTTAAATCAATATTTGGTTTTATATCTTAGGTTTTCTGGTAGTAAAACATTCTGATTACACAGATGATAGATAGATAGCTGACATTAAGCAATACAATATTTCAAATAAAATTCCACACAGTGAATATTAGCAGATTTTACATAATATAAATTTTTCAAACATAATTTTATGAAAATTAAAACTGAAGATAAAGTGGTAAGTGTTGTAGTTCATGACATTCTTACCAAAACATGCCTTATTACACTGTAAGCGCACACACTAAATACTCACTGTTGTAACTTAAGGTGATAGCTTGAACACAAACACATGAAAGAGTTTTGAGACAATTCCAAAAATACCTAAATAAGCGATATTTACATACTATGGCCCAGGGAATAGATATTAACAAAAGTTATCCTCCCTCAGGCCACTGTCTAGACCACAGGAAACCTGGGCAACGACATATGGGATGTCACCAGATTCAGACTCAGAAGTTTCCATAACGCTGTGGCCAACTGCTAGACACAGTGAGTCACGGCTGGCCCGGTAACCAAACTCTCATCATACACAGGCTGTTTAGATAGTGATGGAACAGCATCAAACACAATCAGGCCAAACAACATCTTAAGGTTCTAAAAAATGATTTTTGATTCAGCAGAGCTTCTAAATTCAGCAGAATCCAGAAAGTTTTGCCAGAGCAAGCAAAGTATAATAAATTAGAAGCAAGTTACTTTTCACAACTCAGGTTGCTTTGAAAAAGAAAGTATTAGATAAAAGAATTTAATCTAGACAGTTAGGTAGTCACATCCATGTCAATATTTGTATCTCTGTCTGTATAGTAAGTTTGATATCAGTGTACGCCCATCAGTGAATAATAGTATCTACCTCAAATGAAATGAAAAATAAATGAGATACTACAATTAAAGTCCATTAGCATGTCAGTTGTGTAAACAGGCCTATGTAAGCACAGGTGTGCACACACTATTTTATTGAGTTCTTATATTTCTTGGAAATAATTACATTTATATTTACCAGTGGAGCAGAGTTATAAAACATAGCAATATGCTATTTCACATACAAAAATAGGTATGTCTAGGAAGGCACACTAGATCAAAAACTGATATATAAGATGGAGTTTAGAAATCAACTGTAATTATATCTCTGGAAAATTCAGGCACATTAGGGAAATCTTGCTCCCGCCAGCTTTATTTGTATGCTTTGATTTATCTTAAAGTAATGTCATGCCTTATGCCAGTGACTGATTCAACACACAACATTCTCCAAGTCACGGGAGTCGTTTCAAGAAGGACAGACATGTCACCTTTCCCAGCCAGGGACATATGAGGAATCAGTGTTTAGGAATATGGGTAAATGCATTTTGTTGTTACTGTAGTTTCAGGAACTTTTCTCTCTTTTTCTGCTCTTTCTTTTTTAAGAGAGCTCCAAGGAAGTAAGTTTTCTCTTCTGCACACTGCAATTGCACAGTATTATTATGTATAGGCCTGCACCTGTTACCAGCCTGAGAATAAAACCGCCTGATTGAAAAATGCCCTGAAAAGAATTTTATAAATGGAGCCAGTGGCTTGGCCATGCCGGGACTCTAATCTCTGTGAACTGGGGCTATCTATATTATTTAAGGCAATTTTTTGGTAATATTTTACTTAAACCAAAAATTATTATATTAGAGTATCCCAGCCTCTTTTACCCTAAATGTATTTAATTAAATACTATAAGCTCATGACCCCGTTTGACTTTATTCTCTTTAATTATATCCTTTTGTATCTCAAATCTATCTTACTCTTGTTAATGTGTTATTTTTTAAGTTTCCCAAATCCTCACCTGAGTGCTATAATTGATCCAACTCTATAAAAAATGCAAATTTATTTTGAAGCATATTGATACTGAATATGTTTTGTTTAAATAATAAAGGAATAGACCCATAAATACTATTGTATCAGATGTAAAAGCTTATTTACATATTTGTACATATTTTACATTTGTATATACTTTAACAGAAAGGTACATAGTGTGGTTCTGAATATAGTCTGTTGTTAAAACTACTTCGTAAGGTTGGAATTATGGACCATTTTTAAACCAGTTTTGGCTTAGCAGTGGGGTTCTTACAGATCACTGATCAAGAGGAAAATATCAAAATATAATACATTCATCAGCTAGTGAGGAAATCCATTAAGTGTTAGATTCCTATAATAGTTTCCCACATACAGGTTGGTGAAAGTGAACGAAAAATAAAAATCATCACACAAACCAACTTAGGAGAGTTTCTGTGGTCAGGGTGAAAAACTTTAGGAGACAGAGTTCAAGACAATGAAACTATACTGTTTTCTATTGCAAACCGTACCTACTGTGGAGAGAAAGTCCTGCATTATACTGTGAACAACATAGTTGAGTTCTGTTGTTTCAAAGACTCATTATGTTCTTTCTGTTGCTGAAGGATAGAAATCAGGAGTGCTTAGACTAATGGTTAAGAAAATGGCTTTAGGATTTTGTTGTTGTTGTTCTTGTTGTCGTCGTGATATACCAAAGGAAAGCATAAACTTTATTTTAAAGAAGAATGAAGCAATAGAATTTAAGGGTTAGAAGCTCAAAGATAAGAGAGGAAATGGAGGCCTACCTGAATGTGGATATATTGCAGCTCGTGGAATGAGAGTCGATGGAACAGGGGTTGAATAAAGACTGTACAGAATATTCAGTGGTAAGTAATGGAAGGCAAATACTTAGGATTGATACATCATCTAGTCAATGTTAAGTGGGAGCATGTTTTATTTTATTTTATTTCATTGTTCTTTGTATTAGTTCATTTTCACACTGCTCTGAAGAGCTACTTGAATCTGGGTAATTTATGAAGAAAAAAGTTTTATATGGCTCACAGTTCTGCAGGCTTAACAGGAAACATTACTGGGATGCCTTAGGAAACCTACAATCATGAAAGATGGCAAAAGGAAAGCAGGGACCTTCTTTACCTGGTGGAAGGAGAAAGCAAGAGAGTGAGGGAGGATGTGCCACACACTTTTAAACCACCAGAGCTTATAAGAACTCCCTCACTATCATGAGAACAACAAGGGGGAAATCTGCCCCCATAATTGTTACCTCCCACCAGACCCCTCCTCCAATTTCACCTGGAGGAAGATTTTGGCAGGGACACAAATCCAAACCATATCAATCTTGCTTTTACATAATCTGGGAAACCTTTGTTACACAGACTTTCCGTAAAACTTTGCGTCATATATCATCAATGTGTTCAGGGCACTATGGGAAGAAAAATATTTCAAGATATTGTTTTGAAAGGGAATAATAAGTTCAAAATAAATGAATCTGATATAGATACTAGTCAGGAGAAAATGAACACACTGGACAAACTTGGGAAGATTGAGGAGGCTTTTTACACATGGGGTGGGGACAATGTTTCATGAGTTGGATGATACTTTATGAGTTAGATGAGTTGAAGAATTGGGTGATGTTTCATGAGTTTGATGAGTAGAGAATAAACATAGGAGATCTAAGGAAATGGGAACACACTGCCTGGTAATTATGCACATACAGCAGCTATAAAATATAGTTTATCCAGAGGGAAATAAGATTACTTAAATGTAAATATTCTCTAAAAGGCACATTACTTACCTGAAGTTTTTCTGCTTTGAACATATATGTTCTTGGTTGCAATTATTGGTTGAGTCACACAGTTTATGTATACGTGTATATATGGGGTTTGAAATGAGAAAATAATAAAGATAAGACATGTATATAAAGTATCTTCTCTATACAATAAAACTAAATATATTCCGTTATACAATTCTTATATACATCTAATATGAAACAATAGAAAAATGTAACTTAATGCACTCACTACTCACCATAGAGATGATGAGAATTCTAATCTAGAAGACCAATAAAAAAATAAATTAGTAGTGCATTATGCCCATCTTCTCTTTTTGATGTCATGTCCTCTGTTAATTCTTACACTTTATGGCATTATCATCGCATGTCATCTGCAAAGTTTATAGTTTCCACTGTAACTATAACATAGTTCGATTTTAGAGTTGTAAAGCACATAAATCATTCTAAGTAGAGTATTTACACAGATTTTATTTCTCTCTACTATGACATGCAAAATGTCAATAGCATGCTTTCCTGTGGAACCTGGCAGTAGCTTTTGTTTTTCTCTTTGTCCCGGCAAAGCACTTGGTCAGATAAGTCAGACACTGGTGTTCCATGAAATACCTAGTTGGGGAGTATATTAGTTTGTTTTCACCCTGTTAATAAAGACATAATTGAGATTGGGAAATTTATAAAGAAAAAGAGGTTTAGTGAACTCACAATTCTACATGGCTGGGGCAGCCTCAATCATGGCAGAAAATGAAGGAAGAACAAGGGCACAACTTCTATGGCAGTAGGCGAGAGAGTGTGTGCATGGGAACTGCCTTTTATAAAACCATCATATCCCACAATTCAATTATCTCTTACCATGTCCCTCCCACAACGTGTGGGGATTTGGGGAGCTACAATTCAAGATGAGACTTGGGTGAGGACACAGTCAAACCAAATCATATCAGGGAGTATATTTAATTTTACCTCACCTCACTAAAGTTTTCCTTTCCTTTTGTTATCTAAGCTGGATGTATATTTATTTTTTCTTGTTGTTCTATTACACTGATGAACCACATTCTTAAATAATAGTGATTGACTAGTACTAGCTTAAGAATACAGTTGTTTTCTTATTATACATTCAATATATTGTAGGCTGCACAAATGCTACATTTAAATTATATTTTTTCCTCCTCCCTTAAAAAAAACTGCAATAAAAATAGAAGCGACTCTATTTGCCAAAGTAAATGTCTTGTGAAAAAATGACAATCTCTAACCTTATTATGACATTTTATTTTATTTTATTTTATTTATTTATTTATTTATTTTTGAGACGGAGTTTTGCTCTTGTTTCCCAGGCTGGAGTGCAATGGCGCGATCTTGGCTCACCGCAACCTCCTCCTCCTGGGTTCAGGCAATTCTCCTGCCTCAGTCTCCCGAGTAGCTAGGATTACAGGCACGCGCCACCATGTCCAGCTAATTTTTTGTATTTTTAGTAGAGACGGGGTTTCACCATGTTGACCAGGTTGGTCTCGATCTCTCGACCTCATGATTCACCCGCCACGGTCTCCCAAAGTGCTGGGATTACAGGCTTGAGCCACTGCGCCCGGCCGACATTTTATTTTTAAAAGTGGTTGATGAACTAATATCAAAAGATACTCAATACTCATATGTAAATGAATGGAAGAAAATTAATATCATAGTGAACCATAGGGTGTTGTTGCATGTTCCCCCCTACTATAGCTGACAATGATGATTTCTTTTTTTTTTTTTGCATAGTTTTCAATGTAACCAAAAAGTCTGTAAATTATAACCAAAAGGTCTGTAAATTATAAACTTTACTCAATTAATTTCTGTTGTTTCTTCACAAGATATTTATTTAGCTTTGGAATTTTATTGAAATCTATATTACTAAAATATATTTGCAAAGGTGAGCTATAAAAATATATTGATGATTTCATTTCATAGAAGTTTTTTAGAATACAAAATGAAACTTCTAGTGTATCTTGAAATGTTGTACTAAGTTGACCAATATATGCTGCATCCAACAGCAGTACTGGAACAAACAAATTAACAGACAAATATATTTACAAAGCCAAGATTTAGACTCTTATTTTGTTAATTTCAGATCCTTCTAGAGGACCACTGAAAACATCTGTAATTATTTCAAATAATATTATCTCTTAGACTTGCAAGAAATACAGTACCCTCTTTTTTTTCCCCCCTTTTTTTGCTCCATCACTTAGGCTGGAGTGCAGTAGTGGGATATTGGTTCACTGTACTCTCTTCCTTCCAGGTTCAAGCGATTCTTCTGCCTCAGCCTCCTGAGTAGCTGGGATTACAAGCACCCACCACCATGCTTAGCTAATTTTTGTATTTTTAGTAGAGATAAGATTTTGCCATGTTGACCCAGCTGGTCTCGAACTCCTGACCTCAGGTGATCCACCCATCTCAGCCTCCCTAAATTCTGGGATTACAGGTGCAAGCCACCATGTCCAGCCACAGTAGCCCTTCATATCTGCAATTTAACTTTCTGTCCTTTTAGTTATCTATGATCAACTAACTATAGTTCAAAAACATTAAACAGACAATTCCAGAAATAAGCAATTAAAAAGTTGTAAATTGCATGTCATTCTGAATAGCATGATGAAATTTTGTGCTGTCCCTCTCCTTCTTGCCCTGGACGTGAATCATCCCTGTGTTCGGCAGACCCATGCTCCAGACACTCCCAGCCTGTCACTTAATAGCCTTTTTCAGGTATCAGATTGACTGTTGCAGTAACACAACCTTGTGTTCAAGTCACTCTTATTTTATGTAACAATGGTTCCAAAGGTCAAGAGCAGTGATGTTGGCATATTGTTATAATTTTTCTATTTTATTATTGTTGTTGTTACTCTCTTACTGTGCTTAATTTACAAATAAACTTTGATATGTATACATAGGAAAGAAATAGTGTATATAGGATTTGGTAATTTTGGTGGTGTCAGGCACGAAAAGGTGTCTTGTAATACATCTCCCTGAGACAAGTGAGGACTCCTGTAACAAACTTTGTTTTCTGTTTACATCAATCCCATTTTAGGAGACAGGTGGAAATGGAGAATGGCAAGAAAGAACATATTCTACATTTAAAAAGTATTTTACACAATTCTGCCCAGACTATAAGCACACTTCCCAGGAACTCTTGTTTTTAAACAAGTGAAAAAAAAAATAGTGACAGTAACAGAGGTGAATGGTGGAATGAACACACCATGGGTACGTAGTTAGTGGTCTTCTCTACCGAAGTATGCTGAGATTGTCTATGTTGATGGGCTTAGAAGTACCAACATCAGTTAAAGCACCTACATTAATCAGCCACATTCCCTCTGAACTAGGGCCTAAACTGAGAAAAACGTGAAGACAAGTAGGACTGCACAGGAAGCAAGAAACATAAAATATGATTTCTAACTTTTCCATTCCTTCATGTTGGAAATAAAAAATAATAAATCATTATTATTGATGCCAGATTTGGTTTAAAGAGGTAATGTTTATGTGAATCAAAATAGATTTATAAAGCTTTCAACACTGCAGCTTGGCCTTAGAACCTTTCCAGAGATACCTCCTTTTTGTTGTTAAAGTAGATGGCACACACACACACACACACACACACACACCACACGCACACACACATATATATATATATGCAAATGAAAAATCAACTTTGGTTATAAAACAAAGAACTAAGATTCAACAAGCTCAACTTAAATTATTAGCTCAGTACAGGTGAGTTCAACAGTAGCTCTCATTAAATTCAGACCAGCCCACCATTGTAAGAAAGACAGGGATAGTTATGCAGTATCTGCAAGGCATTTGAATCCATTACATAAAAATGTGTGCTTGGAATACTATGCTATAGTAAGCATTATGAGAGTATGCCCACTTTTACCCTGGGGACTGTAATTAAGTGCAATGCTCAAATGAATAGTTTGCAGTGACATGTATTATCCTCCTAGGCTGGCTCAGAAGAAGCTCTGAGTCTGTGCTATAGCATTCACTTCAACCTATCTTTAACATATATTATGTTACCTTAAGCCTCTGGGGATGATTCAGTGGAAATGTGTTGCTTGCCTCAGTTAACATTCTCTTATGGAAACCACAGACCTTCTATTGTTTTTGCACAGATTCTCACTTTTCCTAGTTGAAATATAAGACCCTTAAAATGAGAAGAAACAACCAATTGATCATTTTTTATAAGTGTTCAAAGCTGCATCAATTTGACTTCTGCACAGCTACTACTTTAAGGAGTAAGCTGAGAGCATGAAATTGCATGTCTTCAAACAGTATAATGACATCTATAATTCCATAATAGTTTGGCTAACATTGCTGCAGGCTGCGTAGAACAAAATTAATCTTATACAATGAGGGCATATTGACATTTTCAGGTCAACTTAGGCTAATGAATTTCTTGCATTATTCGATGTGGAGTTTACAATTGAATTCTAGGCAGTATGGTTCCTTTTATTAATAATATAATTCCTAAGCCCATAAATTTGGGGATGAAATATATCACTGAAACATCAAAGATATTCCTTCATAAAAGTAAACTCATTACAGACCTACTCAGAAACCCAGTTAATTTATAAGAATGTGTGAATCCTACATTGGTGTTAAATGGTGATTAGGAAGGGTGGAGTGAAAGGAGAGTGGATGATGAGAAATTACCTAGGGGGTACAGTGTATGTTATTTAGGTAATGGATGCATTAAAAGCCCTGATTTTATCACGGTGCCATAATCCATGTAACAAAATTATCTTGTACCTCACAAATTTATGCAAAAAAGACAGTGTTATAGGCAGCAAGCAACAGCAGTGAAATAAATAAGAATTATAAATCCCAAAAATTTTTTTCAGCATTTCAACTAATGTTTTAGAAGTTCACAAATATTGTAACATATTTGTTTAAAAATTTAGATTAATTTATATAAAAATGTATCTCTATGATAACATTTACTCTCTGAATATTATGAGTTTAAAAAAGTAAAATATGGGTAAGACCAATTATGTGATTAAAATCTGGATTATTAAAAAAATAAAAAAGAAATGACAGTACCAAATCTATTTTTCTGGTACAAATAACTTTATTATTATTTACTTCCAACACAGTAAAATAATAATTTAAGGGAAAGATGCTTTACCTTTGAAATTTAGGTGCCTTTATTTAAAGTTCATTAAAATTTCTTGTATGCTTCCAGAATGTATTATATTTACAAGTAACCATGTGTCTAAACATCTGGTTAAAAACTATTATTGTTTCACTATTAGTATTTTCTTGAGTTTTATTTAAATGACTATCTTCATCGTTTTTCATGAATATGTGTAATCCTTTCCTGCTAGAGCATTATAGTGTTCATGCAGTTGAACTCAAGTGTAGCCATATGACAAGCTGGCTTTACACAATAAAGTGGGAATGGAAATGACATGCTTGCCTTATTCTTGTGCATTGACACCTGTCATTGTTCCAGAGGGAGTACTCTATGTGTGCTCTAGTGAAGATGATGAAGTCAGAACTCTATCTGAGCTGTGATGAACATGGAAAGTGAGTCGAGGAGTTGTACTTTTTTGGTATGTGCCAGTGACTTGAACATCATGGGCAAATGATTTCTCTGCTCATTTTCTGTCATTTTTAACCCCAGCTGCTGTTTACCAGATATTTCTCAAATTTTCTCGTCCCAGTGGTGTCATATTTTTTTCCAGAAACCTGAGTCTGAGAACTTGCTTATGGATCATTTGTTTGTAATGCCAGGAAATAGAATAGAGGACTGGGAAGAGTGAGAGAAGGAAACAAAGCCAGTAGGAGATTATGTTATGAGCTGTGAGTAATTGGGACTTGATTCCACTAATTGCCTTTGAAGTATCTGAGAATTTGCCTCCAGAGTTGTCCACCTGAAAACGATAGAAAGGAGAACATTTATCTATTGAAACTTCTCTTCATCTTGCACTGGTCAAGAGTTGTCCTATGGGATATTAAGACAGTTGCACTTTCAAGTTTGCAGCAGTGTGGGAACTAAAGCATCCAAAAAGCCCCGAGGCAGGAAGCAAGCTGAGGCAAGGTGTTGGTGATGATGGTACACCTGGATGGAGCTGACTTTAGCAGCAATAGTTGCTGAATAAATTTTTCATTTAATCTAAATTGCCAAATTCATCAGCATAAAATTGTTAATGATATTCTTTTAGAACGTGGATGGTGATAGGAAGGAGAGGAGCAAAAAAAAAAAATAACTATTTGGTATGAGGCTTAATACCTGGGTTTTGAATAATCCGTACAACAAACCCCCATGAAACAAATTTACCTATATAACACGCCTTACCTATATAACACGTCCCCCCAAATCTGAAATAAAAGTTAAAAATGACAAAGCAAGCTAAGACTCTCTATTTCTTCTCTTGCGTGCCTGATACTGGCAATGTGTCTTCTTATCATATTTTTCATGATCAAGTCTGCAAAGGAAAATTTTGTCAATATTTTCATATATTTCACATTTTATCTTGTTAATTTCTTAAATTATATTTTCATTTTCTTTTTTACTTATATCTTCTTTCCTTTGCCTTTCGGTTTTATTTGCTACGTTTTCCTAATCTTTTAATGGGGAAGGTTCAATTATTTGTTTTTAGCAATTGTACTTTGATAGTTTTATGAGTGATTATATATAAAATAAGTTAATGTATAAAGTAACATTTAAATATTTAAATTAGATATTTATATATACAAAAGAATTATAGAGCTATAAATTCCCTTTAAATGCTTTATTAGCTGTATTTCACAAATTTTATGTTTCTATTCATATTCATTTTGAAATATATTTAATTCCCCTCATGTTTTCTTCTTATTTTCAGTGTTGCTAAAATTTATTGTATGCTTATTATATATAAAATACTTTTATTTATTCATTCAACAGATTTTTTTAACTTTTTTTTTAACAGTCTTTAAGTTCTGGGGTACATTGTAGAACTTGCAAGGTTGCATAGGTACACACATGCCATGATGGTGCCTCCATCCCCCATCACCTACATCAGGCATTTTTCCCAATGTTATTCCTCCCCAATATCTCCACCCCCTACTATCCCTCCACTACTGTCCCACCCAGCAACAAACCCCAGTGTGTGATGTTCCCCTCCTGGTGTCCATGTGTTCTCATTGTTCAACACCCACCTAAAAATGAAAACATGTGGTGTGTGGTTTTCTGTTCCATAGTTTCCAGCTTCATCAATGTCCCTGCAAAGGACACGAACTCATCCTTTTTATGGCTGCATAGTATTCCATAGTATATATATATGACACATTTTCTTTATCCAGTCTATCACTGATGGGCATTTGGGTTGGTGCCAGGTCTTTGCTATTGTAAACAGTGCCATAATGAACATACATGTGCCTGTGTCTTTATAATAGAACAATTTATAATATTTGGGATATATACCCAGTAATGAGATTGCTGGGTCAAATATTTCTATTTCTAGATTCTTGAGGAATTGCCACACTGTCTTCCACAATTGTTGAACTAATTTACACTCCCCACCAACAGTGCAAATGTTTTAATTTTAGATAGTATAAAACTTGGTTTTGTTTTTTAATTCATTTTGAAAATATGAATTTTACTTTGATTAATTCATTAACAATTAAGGTAACTGTTGATATGGTTATGTTGTGGGTGATATCTTATGTTTTCTGTTTTTTTCCCTGTCTTAACTTGGTTCCCTTTTGCTTTTTCTTTTCTTTTTTTTCTTTTTTAAGACTGAATCTTGCATCATCTCCCAGGCTGGAGTGCAATGGTACAATCTTGGCTCATGGCAACCTCTACCTCCCAGGTTTTAGCGATTCTCCTGCCTCATCCTCCCTAGTAGCTGGGATTACAGGCACCTGCCACCATGTGTGACTAATTTTTTGTATGTTTAGTAAAGATGGGGCTTTGCCAGGTTGGCCAGGCTGGTATTGGACTCCTTACCTTAGGTGAGTTGCCGACTTCAGCCTCCCAAAATGCTGTGATTACAGGCATGAGCCATCACACCCAGTTGGTTCCTTTTTCTTGTAATTTTTTTTACTTGAAATAAATTTTAGATATTACTTACATTTTCCTGTTGGATTTTTAGCTACTTTACTTTCTTTCATTACTTTTTCTCAGTACCATAGACATTATAATGTGTATCCTTAACTCTTTATAGTTTAATAATGTGCTACCTTGCTTAAAATATCAAACTCTTGTGCATGTAATTTCATATCACTCTCTTTAAGTTATGGTTACATTAAATATACATGCATATAAATCTAAAAGACAGCTATTATATATATGTATATATATATATATATATATATTCTTTTACACACACATATATTCTTCAACAGTTATATGATTTCTCTAAAAATTATAAAGAAAATGGCCAAAGAAATAACTTTTTTATCCACCCAGATATTTTCTGATTCAGATGTTATTTTGTGTGTGTGTGGGGGGGGGGTGTATCTTTTCTTTCCTATCATTTTCTTTCAGCCTAAGAATTTTCCTTAACATTTCTTGTAGGGCAGGTATGTTGGTGATGATGTACCCTTAATTATTTTATGCGACAATATTTTTATTTTACCTTCACTATTGAAAGATGTTTTGCTGAGTATAGAGTTCTGGGTTGACAATTTTTGTGTGTGTGTTTGTGTGTGTGCATGTGTGTTTTCAACACTGTAAAGATGTTTCTTTTTTTTCTTTTCTTCATAAATTCTCGTAATAAATTAGCCATTCATTAGAATCTTGTCTCCTGCATGTAACATATTGATTTTCTCTTGTCACTTTCAAGATATATAGTTTATCTCTAGCTTTCAAATATTTGACAGCAATCCACCTAATTTTTAGCTTATTTTTTTAACTTGATATCTATCAAGCATTTTATATATGCAAATTTATGTCTATCATAAAACTTGGAAAATATAAAACAGTTTCTTAAATAATTTTTCTTAATTTTCTTTCCTTCCATTATTGTAATTACACATGTATTGAACTGTTTGATATCAAAATCATCTAACAAGCCCGTAAGTCTCTGTTTATCTTTGAAAATTATTTTCTTACTATTTTACATCTTATATAAATTTAATTGATTTATCTTACTTTCCTCTCTCATACTTATTCAGTTATCATTTCCAATCTAGGAAAATTCCTTTACTTCAGAAATTTTATTTTTAGTTCTAGAATTACTAATTAATTTATTTTTATAGTTTATTTTTCCCCATTTGGCATACCTATGGTGGCACAGAACCAGTTTTCAGGATGAAGCAGAACACCAGGAATATATACAAAAGAAACTTTGAGAGAAAAGACAAAATGCATTTTTACAGAGGTGGTTATGTAATATTTGTGGATAGTTTTGCCCATGTATTTGGCTATGATAACTCAGGGCAACTTGAATGTATTAGTAAAATATTATGGAAATACTATGAAGCGTTTGTTACTAGGTAACATAGTTCACTAACACAACTATTGTTAGCTCTTGGAAGGTGGCCATGCTATGAACTTATACTCAATTATCTAATTCATAAAGAATCTTAATTAAAAAGGAACTTTGGGGAGTGTTCCCTGGATATGTTTAATGCCATCATGGGACTATTGAAATAATTTTACTGTTATCATAATATTATGGAAAGGTACAGAAGTCTAACAAGGGACTACTGAAATAATTTTGCTGTTATCATAATATTATGGAACGGTACAGAAGTCTAACTGGAAAAGGTAGAGAAGTGTTTACGTAAGTGCTTAAGAGTTGTTCACACAGTGAAGCGTCACATACGTATTACACATAGCAACAGATAAAGTATATCAGTATTTAATGTGCTCCTTAGAAAACAGTGACAGGTAAGATTAGGTTGACATATATTTAGTGCCAATTGAAGAATTTTAACTGTTGAAATACCTTAATAATGAAAGTAATATTGCAATTCAGATATGTAAAGTATTTTTGGTCTTATATTACATATACTGGTAATATTCTGGAACAATGCATGAAAACATACATATACATCCTTGTTTCTATACAGAACAGTGCATTCAAACAGCATTTTACCTGATAAGTGATCTCATTTTCCTCAACACAGAATTAAGCCAAAACACTCTGTGCAGCCTTTATAGAACTTTCATAAGCTAAAGCTCCTGCACTTCGATCATGGAAGGATGTCCTGTATACGTATGCAGTATCTGATTATGCAGAATTCTGAAAAGTTCAAAACGTAATTGAAATAAAGTATTTGGAGGGAAAGAGATTCTAAAGTGAGTTTCTTGACTACTTCAGTTAAGACAGCAAAAAATATCACAGTATAAGTATACATACAATAACACAAATCAGAGTAATAAAGATGAAAAGACAAAATCATTCTAGATAGGAAATGGTATTCTGTCAAGCTAGTTTCCAATTCTTCTTCTTTTCTTTTCTTTTTTGAAAATATTAATTGACAAATAAAACATATGCATTTATTATGTATAACCTGTTTTGAAATATATAGAGAGTGAAATGGCTAAATTTAGCCAATTAACATGAATTACCTCACATACTTATTTTCTTGTGTGAGAATACTTAAAATCTACTCTTTCAGCAATTTCAATAATGGAATATTATATTATGATAAACTATAGTCACCATGTTGTACCTTAGAAGTTTCCAATTATTTTCTACCAAATTTTATTTATCCTTAGATCATTGAGTTTTACTTTTATTTTCTTTATTTCACTCAACTTTTAAGGATTCCCTACTTTCCTTCATTGATTTCTGGTCTACAATGTAATAAAGAACATTTTCCCATTAGTAAAAATAAAGATAAATTGTGACAATCATCATTATAATATTATATGTTAGGCTTCTTCTATAGCAGATAATTAAGATTCATCTTTACTAAATTAATACCCCATCACTAAAAATTTTTGTCTGTGTTTCTTTGGGGAAGCAGTTATTGATTTCATTAACTTAGAGGGTGAAGGAGTCAATTTCAGTTCTAACTCTTCCTAATAATTCAACCGATATCAGAAAATCCCTACTCTGCTCTCCATTGTTTTTTAAAAATTTTTTAGTTAAATTTTATTTTTGTTCAAAAATAGCTACAAAGATTGTATGAATAAGACTTCAAAAGCACAGAAAATTAAAACTGGAAAAATGGGATTATGTCAAACTAAAATGCTTTTGCACATAAAAGAAGAAAATCAAAAGAATAAAGAGATAATTATTGAATGAAACAAAATATTTGCAAACTGTTTCTCAGACAAGGGATCAATACGAAGAATAGTCAAGGAACTTAATATAAAAAATTATTTTTAAATGGGCATGAATAGATATCTCATTTTAATATGAGCTGAATAGATATCTCTCAAAAGAAGACACACAAATGG